AGCACAACGTCTCCAGGTACACCAGCCTGCTCTCCATCTCCTCAAAGTCTCCCTCCAAATGAGCTGCGCACACGCACACACACACACACACACACACACACACACACACACACACACACACACACACACACACACACACACACACACACACACACACACACACACACACACACACTAAATAATCATGTGTTATTCAATAATTAAAATAAAATGAATGATGAAATTATAACTAGAGTTTTGACAATTTCGTCATTTTTATATTTTACAAAATGTATTTCCATAATTGTTTTAATTCATTTGATATGTGGGGTTGCATATCTATCTAAGTTCAGGATCTCAATACTGTATTATTAAAGCTATACAGGCAGCACAGTGGTGGAAAAGAAACTAAGTACATTTACTCAAGTATTGTGCAATTGTATTTGTTTTTAACTATTTAATGGAACTATATAAATCAAATTCACTACATGTTGAACGGAAACATTGTGAACACTTCATTACATTTATTTAATTGCTATGTTTGTAGTTGTTTTTTAACACAGAAGACACAGATCAGATTATCAAATATAATGCATCGTTATGTATTAAAAGGGGATTTCAGTTATATTGCTGATAGTTTCTGTAAGAATATCATGTACTTGTTGGCCTTTAATGAAACATATCATTGCTTCTATCTTGCTGCACGTGATAATAACTTGAAGGATTATCTTGTGAGCATAAGATCCAAAACAATGATGAAAAACTTCAGTAGCTTTAAGTCAACTGAACACATACTTATTCATTTTATATATTGAATACTTTTATAATTTAAGTAAGCTTTGCTGGAAATATTGAACTTTTCCTTAAGTATAATTTGGATTGCAGGACATGAATTTGTATCAGTGTATTTCTACACTGTTGTGTCGTTACTTTTACTAAAGTGATGGATCTGAGTACTTCTTCCACCTCTGAGGTCCACTGTCGGAAATTCTCTTAGTTATTGGTGGTGACAGGCGTTATCGTACAGGAATGAAACACACCGATGTTAGCAGTCATGGCGTCCAAATCGCCGATGAAGGCCGGCACGCTCTGCAGCTGCTCCTGCAGCTGGGTCAGAGCCGCTCTCTTCCTCTCCCAGTGAGCAGACAGCATCACCATGTCCCCATCTACTGCCTAACACACACACACACACACACACACACACACACACACACACACACACACACACACACACACACACACACACACACACACACACACACACACAACATTATTGCAATAGTACAAGTACAAGTGTTTGTCTAGCGCTTTAAAAACATAACTGCTCCACCTTTTAATATTAAACGAGCATGAAAGAAGGACATAGCAATTAGCAAATGTAACTTAAATACTAGTATGTTGATTCATTGAGTGTTCAATTCATGAGTCAATTCAACACTAGCTTATTTTGTTAAAACATGTAGAAGCAGCATTGTGTTTTAATGCTCAATATATCTGGAATAAACTCCAACAAAAATGCAGGTCCGCTGCAACTCTCACTGCTTTTGGATCAAGGCGGAAGGCTTTTCCATGTGCTGAGGCTTTTTATTAAGTCAAATAACGACTCATTTCCAACACTGCACTTTCACTTTTATTCTAATTGTATACATGTCTCATTCGATTTAAGGATGTCACTTGATAATGTGCTTCTTTTGCAGGATGCCTAAAGCTTTTGATGTTTTTTTTAAAGCTCTTTGAATTGCGTTGTTTTTGAAGTGTGCCTTATAAATAAACTTGCCTTATCTAAAAGTATGTGCGGGGTGTGTTTCCCTGAAATGTCCAAGTTTGAGTATAAAATCTAGTTTTTCCATCACTTTATTGTAGCTAATGAAAAGTTCGAACTGGTATCTGACAGCATTCTTTGAAACTGCTTCCACCACATCACAATGAACCTGTGTTCATTTTCTCACAGTATTCTCATATTATCTTCAAGATCCATGAGCACAGTCTCAACACGGCCCCGGAAGAAGCTTTTCTCTACAGAGTCAATCATTCACGGTGTCTGAAGGGGTGTGTGTGATCAGTGTGTGTGATCAGTGTGTGTGATCCTACCTCTGCAGCCTGAGCACAGTCCTTAGTTCTTCTGTGGAGCAGAAACCAGCTCTCCTCATACCTGAAGAGACACATTATACAGAAACACATAAGTGTGAGCGTGTGTGTGTGGTTTTGTTCTTGTGTTTGTGTGTCTGTATGTATGTGTGTGTGTGTATATGTGTGTATGTGTAGTTGTGCAGGGTAAAGTGTGTTTCTACAGTTGTGTGTGCTGTGATGCTTGTAGGTGTTCGGGTGATGTGTGTGTACGTTTCTGTGTGAGTGGTTGTGTGTGTGTGTGTGTGTGTGTGTGTGTGTACAGTATGTGTACGTGTGTATGTGTACGTGTATATGCATGTGTACGTGTATATGAATGTGTGTGTGTATATGTATGTATATGTATATGTGTGTGTGTGTTTGTGTGTGTGTGTGTGTGTGTGTGTGTGTGTGTGTGTGTGTGTGTGTGTGTGTGTGTGTGTGTGTGTGTGTGTGTGTGTGTGTGTGTGTGTGTGTGTACCTGCTGAGGATGTCCAGTCCAGCACTGAAATGAGGAAGGCTTTCTTCAAACCTGAACAACAAACAGGAGGACACTAAGTGAGTAATGGAAAGAATCACATTTAGGTGATGGATGATTTCATATCTCATAGCTGTGACCTAAGCTAAACAATGTTTTAAACAACAAAACAAACCGTTCAGGCTCTTCAAAACCAATTGTATTTGTTGTAATAAAAATAAGAGTCCTATGGTCTTCCTCTGAAGCAACAACATGATTGGCTCTTTGGTGAGCGTGTAGCTCTTCTTCTTCTCTGAACGTATTGTTGGATTGCAAACCAACTTTAAGGTGAATACCACCACGTACTGGTCACAGCTGCACATGAGAGGTCAAGGAAAGCAATCTGGCTTTGTATTATTGGATAATAATGTATTGGCTGTGATTTTATTGTACCAATAATACATAATAATATAATATGCATTTACAATTATTGGTTGTTACATCCCTCACTGTATTATTACCCGTTTTGTAAGAAAATGTATACACTAGCAATCCCAAAGTCAACATATGTTAACACTTTATTCATCGGTCATCTTCCAACAGGTTGCCACGCACGCACGCACGCACGCACGCAGGCACACGCACCTGGGTCTTCTCCTGACTTTGGTGTCTCTTGATTTGTCTCCAAGGGTCTTGAAACTGAAGGGAGGAAAAGAGGAGATAACTGAAGACAAGCAGGGATGTACACGTCTTTGCATGGCAGTGGGATTTTTTCAGAGTGTGGCACTTGATACAGACAGAAAGAGCCTCTGAGCAACAGCATCCCACTGTTGTCTGCTATAATGTGCAAATACTTTGAATGTATATATATATGTATTCAATGTGGTAGCACCAGTGGTGTAAAGTCACTAAGTACATTTCTCTCAGGAGCTCCAACAAGCCGTGTAGGACAGAGTGAATACACATACTATACAGAGATGCTGTATGAGAAACCAATGTGAGTTTGGAAAATTGCACAATATAAATCTATTCTACTACTAGTAGACCTCAACAATGGAATTATGATCAGTAGAAATGGCCATGACATGGGACCTTTAATACTTTTGTACTTTTATTGAGTAACATTTTGAATGCAGGACTTTTACTTGTAACTGAGTATTGCTACACTCTGGTACTTCTACTTTTATTTAGGTAGATGATCTGAGTACTTCTGGGTACCACACATAGCACAATAGCAGAAGGTCTATCTTTACACTCAAGTATGTATATGAATGTATCTGCTTGAGCATTATGACTAAGACGACAGTCAGACGGGTCTCCTGTGTGTGTGTGTGTGTGTGTANTGACAGCCTCTGACACTAGATGTAAAAACACTATTCAATGATACTCAGAAAGTGTTAAGAGTCAATAACTAGCGCACTATGAGTTTCATCATTCATAAATGTGCGCTAGTTATTGACTCTTAACACTTTCTGAGTATCATTGAATAGTGTTTTTACATCTAGTGTCAGAGGCTGTCAGGTATTCAACTTTGTCAGATTTCCTTTTGTTGTTCCATATAACTTCTCAAAGTGACAAGCTGTGGTCATGACAAGATCAACACATTTATTTTGTCCCTGGATAGGTCGTTTTTGTTTAGCAGCCAGAGATATACTGTAACATGATGCTAACCTGTCTGATGTTTGGCTTGTAACAGGAAGGAGGTGGAGGCCCTGGAAGGTGAGATGCTGCTGTACTCTAATCAGGGATTACACAGAAGTACTCAGATTATTTACCTAAGTAAAAGTGGCAATACTACAGTGTAAAAATACTCAGATAAAAATATAAAGTTATGCATTCAAAAAGCATTAGCATTAAAAAGTACTTGTTATGCCAAAATAGCCAGTTAAAGCATTTATGTATTTTAAATGACTTTAGAAAAGTATTTTTGCACTCATTACTTCAATGTTGCACTTGGTAAAGGTTGGGTTTCTTTGAATGACTTTATACACTACTGGGTTGCTTAACTTTTAATATGATGTGTGTAGATTTTTGTATGAATAACCTAAAAACCTTAAATCTGCAAAGCAACAAGTGACTCAATATGTACAATAAATGTATTGAAGTAAAAAGAACAACATTTGCCTGAGAAAATGTAATAAAGTATAAAGTTGCTTTATGTGGAAATACTCAAGTAAAGTACAAGTACTTGAGTAAATGTACTTAGTTACATGACACCACTGGGGATTACACATTGTTATTACTGCTCAACAATGACTACATTACTGCCTTAGTACACTGCTCCTTTCTTAATATCTCTATTGTTGCCTATGCGTCATGGCATAGGATGTATAGACTAAAGCATCCAGAGGAAACGCATGCATTTCGTTTTTACTATCATTTCACTTTCAATTTCCAAGGAGACTATCCAACACCCACACCAGCTATGTGAAAAACACTGTTTCCTGTAGTTATTATGAAGCGTGTTTGTGTAATTCCTTACACTGCTGATAATGGTATGATGTGAACCTCTTGGTATGATGTGAACCTCTTGGTATGATGTGAAACTCTTGGTATGATGTGAACCTCTTGGTATGATGTGAAACTCTTGGTATGATGTGAACCTCTTGGTATGATGTGAAACTCTTGAGATTAGAGGACTAACATGTCTTCTGTTTGTAGTGGAACTGAACTCTGAGCATGCTCAGAAGGTGGCAGAGCTGGAGCAGACCATGAAGCAGAAACTGAGAGAACGACAGAAAGTGTACGAGGAAGCCTTCAACCAAGACGTGCAGCAATACCTGTCCACTGGATACCTGCAGCACAGAGGTAGGTACCCACACAGAATACCTCCTTTAATGATCACAACTATTGAGCAGATCAGTGGAGACGTGGACTATTTCATTTTCTGCACTAGAATGTGTCAATATTAGCCTATTATTCTAACAATGGGTTTTACAAACACGTAGAAGAGAGGCAAGAATATAATGTTTCTTTTATTGACAAGCAATGATGAAATAAACTTGAAATTCAGTCAATGGAAACTACCCTGGTGCTAGGTTCAGGACAGTGTGGAAACAGGGAGAGAGAGCAGGGTGCGGCATGCAACATGGGTGCCCAAGCTGGGTGCTTATTACAAGATTTAGGTTTAATACGTGTGTGTGTGTGTGTGTGTGTGTGTGTGTGTGTGTGTGCGCGCGCAGAGCAAGCAGGAACAGACGTGCGTGTTCTGGATCAGATGAC